AATCATGCAAAATTACATTTATGAATAATTTATGACAATGGCACCAGTTTATGGTATGTCACATGAAAAAGGCGGGATACAGAAATATTATATAGTACACTGACTTTGGAAAAACTTCATATTACAAAACTTCATATTTTTATTCAAATAGAATAAAAATTCAAAAAATTTAAGAGAGCATCTTTAGAAAATTATTTTTTCCTCTTTTTTCAACACTTCTATATTTTTCAAAGTTCCTTTAATATATTTTAACACTTTTTATTGAGATATAAGTGTGACATACCATAAAATATTCACCCTTTTCAACTGTACAGTTTATTTTTTAGTATATTCACAAAATTGTGCATTATCTAACAGCACAACATTTTCATCGCTCCAACAAAAAATCCTTGCCATCAGCAGTCACTTCCTGTTCTCCCAAACTGCCAGCCTTAGCGATGACTAATTTATTTTCTATTTCTATGGATTTGTCTATTCTGAACATTTCAAATGGAATCATAAAGTGTGTGAACTTTTATGTCTGCTTCTTTCACTAAGCCTGTTTTCAAGGGTCATCCATGTTGTAACATGAATTAGTAACTTCATTCCTGCTTATGGCTGAATAATATTCCAACATATGGGTGTATCACATTTGATTATCCATTCATCCGCTAACTGACATTTGAGTTGTTTCCACTTTGGGGCTATGATTAAAAAAAAGTTGCTATGAACATTCATGTACCAATTTTCATGGGGATATACATCTCCAGTTCTGTTGGGGAAATACCTAGGAGTAGATAGATGGTTGAGTGCATTACTTTTATAATTTTCTAAAAAGCAAAAGGAATTGCTTTTTAATGGAAAATGTTGAATGTCAGTTGACACCAAGCTCAGGGTCACACAAATTCCTTCTCTTGCCAGAGAGGACAAGGTCCTACTGCAGAGAAGATAGCCACAGACAAAGAACAATGACCACTACTTTTTGACAAAGTCTCTACCAGGCATTTATGATAGCAAGATTTAATAATAATCATAATAATCAAGATGCCAGGGCTGGCATTAATAAAATGAGTCTATAAGCTGCCTAAAATTCCTGTACTTACTGACCAGGCTAAAAATAAAGACAGTATTTCCAAGACTCTCCTGGTGGTCCAGTAGTTAAGAATCCACTTTGCAATGCAGGGGACGTGGGTTCAATTCCTATTCAGGGAATGAAGATCCCACAAGCAACAGCAACTAACTGAACCGGCTGCAACTCCTGAAACGGCCACAGCAGCTGAACCCACGCACCACAACTAGAGAGCCCATGGGCCACAACTACTGAAGTCCACAGGCCACAACAAGAGGGTCCGTACCCTGTAATGAAAGATCTGCATGACGTAGCAAAGATCCCGTGTGCCACAACCAAGACCCAGGGCAGCCAAGTAAGTAAATAAATAGTGATTCTTTAAAGAAAGAAAACGGTATTTTCATATATATGCTTTTCATAGTTTTCCAGTTATCACTAGATTTTATCACTGGATTCTTAGCACCTTTCACAAACTCAACCAGCATAACTTAAACATTTAATGCACCAATGCAAAAAAAAGACTGTAGAACTAGGCGAGGTCGATCACTAACATGACCTCCCTTCTGCTTTCAGGACAAATAATCAAACCATGTGATAAGCAAACTGCTTAAAAATCTTAACATCAGAGTCAAACTCCTGGCCAAATAGTCATCTTATTCTTCCCATCATCTTAATGTCTTTGGGTGGATTTTCCTGCACACCACATGCATTTGTTCCATAATCCATCTGGCCAAGAAAAGATAAAGTATTTTATTTCACATGCAAACAATGCTAAAGCAATATATTCTAATAAACCTGAAACTCTATATTACGTGCTTTGCATGTTACAAATTTCTTATGGCTCCAACAGTAATCCAGTATTATAGAAGTATCAATCCAATGGCTAAGAAAAAAAGTAGAACACTCATGTCACAATTTATAGTACAAAGAGTGAATTTTTAGGATATCTATCTTTAAATTCCATCTCAGCCACTAGACAAATTCCTTAAACTTTCTGAATCTCAATTTCCCAATAAAATGTGCCTAAAAACAATAAAAGGTGTCTAAATGGGCTTTCCAGGTGGCTCAGCGGTAAAGAATCTGCCTGCCAAGACACAGGAGATACAGATTTGATACCTGGGTCAGGAAGATCCCCTGGAGGAGGGAACAGCAACCCACTCCAGTATTCTTGCCTGGAGAATCCCATGGACAGAGGAGCCTGGCGGGCTACAGACCACGAGGTTGCAAAGAGTCAGACATGACTAAGCACACATGCAAAGACAATATATTTTCAGAATTGCTATGAGAGATAAAACCAACAGTTTGGCATAAAACAACTACTGCTACTGTTATTATTAGTTATATCATTAATACTAAAGTGGTTCTACTATGGTTACCCTTAGATGACTGGTAAAATATAAGGGAAAAATCTGCTGCTCTGGAAGGCAAATAGCGATCCTGCTCTTATTCTCACCCCAGTGTAAAAATAAAGAGATGTTACCATAAGACTTGGTGTAGAAAATCAAAAAGTCTAAGTGCTTACTTCACCTGTGTTAGAAATAAAAATGGTCTAGTCATTTTGGTTCATAATTCACACATGATTATTTCAAAATTAATATATCCCCTTTAATATATCAATAGGAAAAACTCATTTTAATAAAAGATTTAAATTGTTTTATTCTATGGCATGTTATGAAAGGGAAAAAATCACTTATGGAAAGAATCATAAGCACTGAATCTACACGGAGAGAAAAATAGGGATTACCTGGACTCCTGCACATTAAATACAAACGATTCAACATGTCACTGTATTTGAATGAATCACTGACAGTCACTACTAAAATGAAAGTTCAGTGACTAATTATATACATCTATCCATCTGTTGTTAGCTGACTTTGAGGAAAGAGGACAAATGTACAGTACAGCTCAGTACTACTACTGAATTCAGGCATTCAGTCGCTAAACACCAAATCTCTGGAGTTCTCTAAATAACCACTTAGTCAAATTTCTAACAAAGTCGACATCATAATGCTGTATCATATGATGAGAATAATTCTGAGACACTGTTATTTCTTTTTTGTTGTTGTTGTTATTTCTTAATTCAACAAAAATACTGTATTAGTTCTATCTAATAGAGTCTTATTAGCTAGGTGAGAATTTAAATCCCAGGGAAGGAGCCATTATGCCCCATATTCTCTGAAATGTAAAACCCTAGATTTAAAGAGACAAAAATCTAAAATACATAGGAATGGTGCATCCATAAATTCACAAGGTGAATCAGTGGCTTGTGGACATATTCTTCTTAAAAGACACAAAAGCCAGTCCTTTCATCAGTCAAGCAAACTCAAATTCTAAACGATGATCAGTCCCTGGTAATTACCAACCCGTGATACTGTGCTGACCTGACCTTCCTCTCTCTCTCCTAATACTGGCTCCATCGCCCACTTATACTTTTCCACACATCCAAATCCATGCATTTACCACTCTGAGTTTTTAACTTCTGAAACAAACAATACTAATGGGAAGATGAAAACAACAGTTGAAAAGAGAAAAATCAAGATCAAAACATTTCACAATTAAAAGGGAAAATAATACAATTTTTACTGAATACTAGTAAATCAACCAGAATCCATGGAAAAATATCAAATACTTATAACACATGACAACTTCTTGTAGATACACATGCATATACAGATGATATGTACTATATAGTATACATCTGTCTATATATGTACATGTATATTTATGTATCTCTACCCTCCTTCTCCAGCGATTTCAGACAAGTACCTAGCTCTGGAGAAAACCCTCTATGGAATTACATTTTTGCTTCTTGTATGGAGTATTACATCATTATAATAATAAGCAGTGTTCTGTTTAATTAGGTCAAAACCTTCTTCAGTAAACACCATGAATAATAATTTTGGGATAACAGTGATACAATAAAAGGAGAGGAAACAAACAGTATTTTCTTTTAAATATAGCCATTAAAAATAGCCATTATATTATCTGAAGCTAATCAAGTCCTGAAACTTGTTTCATGAAAATAGACACATCTTAATTTAGAATTAAGAAAAAAAAAACTCTAGGAAGTGTCACTTTACATACAAAATGTGAGAAGGTAAAGGAACAAAAAAGGCAACTTTCACATGCACCTAAAAAGCTGCATTCCATCAAAACACACCACTGTGCCTATATTTACCATACCTGAACATACTGTTCTGCCGTGCTGCATGTTAATAAAAAATACAAAACAAAAATGGGGAAATATTAGCAGAATAAAACATAAAACTCCTGCATGGAGAATTTTAAAAAATCATTTCATAAGCTTTTATATCTAGTATCTAACATGGATTAGTAATTTAACATTTTGTTTTTAACAAACCATGTATCTCTTGCTTTTGAATGGAATAACTCCCTGAGACAATTTAATTTTTAAAACATTTTATCCTTTTCAGATTTCAGAGTAACTTATTGTAAGATCCTGGAGACAAGAGTCTCATTTTAAGTCAACCGCTTAATTCACTTATTAAAGCAACACGCAGCATAAAGAAGCAGAGACATGACTTCTAGGTTGTGTCTCTTTGCTGCTGTTTTAAAAAATAAAGATTTCAGACATTATTAGGCATTAGGCAAAAATAACCATTTTCAGAGTGGAATACTACTTCCAATTTAGAATAATAAAACCAAGTCTGTAACATCAGATAAGTATTGGATTGGCCCAAAAGTTCGTTCAGGTTTTCCCATTCTATCTTATGGAAAAAGCCAAGCAAACTTTTGGGCCAAACCAATAATATATACGTTAAGTGAAAAATATAAGAAACTGACTGAGTTGTTCATCGTTCTTGGTTCTGAAGGAATAGGCTTCCATTTAAAATGTCTCAATATAAATACTCAAAAATATTGTGACTACTGATGTAGCGTCACTAGCATCCCAGCCCACGTGGCTAGCGGGCTCGCCCCGCTCCGCACTCACTTCTCTTCTGAGACACGGCCTGCAGGCACGCCGTCACAACATCACAGCTTCTCTGCACTTTGTGCACAAGCCGATCTTTCTGCTTCAGCTGCCGAAGTAACTTCGCTGACTGAATGCCAATCCTGTATTTTAGTTCTCGAAGGATCATCTCCAGTTCATTCGTGTCTATCAGCAAAATGGAAAATAGAACAATAAATACTCTGAGAGGAATACAAATTCCAATATGATACTGATCATAAGATAAATCTCTGAAACAACCTTTAAACCAAGCAATTCTGAATTTTCACCCAGGATTACATATACATACTCAGCTAAGAGATTCTGATGAAATAAATCACTCATCTATTTCCTGCCCTGTCCAAGTAAATACAGTAAAAAAATTTTATTCTTGAGGCTACCTGTAACATGTAAGCAAAGAATCTTAAGATATAAATTTGCAACCAGAGCTGGATGTTTCATTGACTCAAAATTGCATTATTAAAGTGCTCAGACAGTAAACTTGCAAGAAAAGAGAATTTTCTAGTGTGTTAAATCAGTGATAAACCTAACAGCTGATAACAACATTTTTAAGTACTCAGCTTTGTAAGTGATCAGTTAAAAGTAGGTAATACTGCATTTTCTAATGTAGATACATGCAGTGATGACCATTTTGTTTCAAATACACAGTCTTCCAATAGCTTGACTATTGGGACAATACTTCACATCCACATACAATAGAAAATATATTTCCTTCAATCAGATAAATAAAAAATAGTTCACATCCATAAAACTAATACTCTCAATATCAGTTTTTCTACAAAAGAAAAAAGACGAGAATCAGAAGCCATCGCAACATTTACATGAATAATCATTACAGTTTGGGAGTTTTGTTAATCATATTTAATGTTATTGTTAGTCACCATACTGTGACCTGCCAGGCGAGTGAAGCCTTCTACTTCACGCAGCACTCATTAGAGGTCCTGTGTGCGGTTTGCATCTACTCATTCTGAAAGAGGTTTAGAGAAACTAGAGAGGATCAGAGAGACAAAAGAAATGTTCAAAAGTAAGAAAATTATTCCAGAGATCAAAGGAAGTGAACTTTGGGGGTCTGAGTAACACAAGTGGAGGGGGTATTTGCGCTAACAGCTGTCATCCTCAGCTGACCTCATTATGAAAAATGCATTTGACCCTGAGTTAAAAAAAAACACTGCCTTTAGATTAATCAACGATCTGTCTGATCTTAGACAAGGCAGTACTCCAGGTCTCAAATTATACAAGATTATTCTGGGAAACAAATGTGAATAGCGTTTATAAACATTAATATAAAGAGCAATAAAGTAAGAATAGGAATTGCTATGAAGAAGAGAACAAAAGTCCATTATTTCTCTCACCTTGAGTTCAAATGCGATGAGATATAATAAGAAGTAACAACACACTTAGGTTAATTGAAAATACTTGGGTTCTGAGCATTAAATATGGAGTCAAGCAACAGGAAAACACCAGAGACTCTTTAAACCTATATTCCTTCAAATAGAGCAAATTTGAATGTTTATAGTTGTTCCTTCTAGAAACAAAAGAGGTAGGAATATCATCATCTTGCATTTAAATTACATTTTCCTTCCACAAAAGAGTGATTTTCAGTGACTCTTAAGGTACCTATAACTCTATGATTTTGAATAATATGCACTGTCCAAAATAGGAAAAATCATCATAGTTGAATTTGAAAATGTCTTTTACAGCAATGTCTGCTGGTATATAAATATCTGGAAGATAGAAATAAGGTCTCCTTTATCTTTATATGTCCCACAGCATCAGCTCCTAACACAGTGTTAAATAAATGAGGAAAACTGAAGAGATCATCAACTGATCATCATCAGTGATCATCATCAATGATTATCATCTCCTCTTTAAGGAACTCTAGTGTATATAATAATAAAAATAAGCATTATCAACTCGATGGACATGAGTTTGAGCAAGCTCCGGGAGTTGGTAATAGACGGGGAAGCCTGGCATGCTGCAGTCCATGGGGTTGCCAAGAGTCAGACACAACTAAGCTACTGAACTGAACATTTATTGAGCACTTCATACACATTAACTTACATAAGTCTCACTTCCTCGCTATAAAGCAGTAGTATTTTCTTTTGTTGAAGTAAAGTTGATTTACAGTATTTGTATTAATTAAGATATACAGCAAAGTGATTCAGTTTATATTTTTTTAATTCTTTTCCACTATAGGTTACTACAAGATATAGTTCCCTGTGCTATATAGTAAATCTTTGTTGTTTAGCTATTTTATATATAGAAGTATGCATCTGTTAATCCCCTACTGCTAATTTATCCATTCCCCCTGGCTTTCCCCTTTGATAATCATAAATTTGTTTTTTATGTCTGTGAGCCTGTTGCTACTTTGTAAATAACTTCATTTGTATTATTTGTTAGATTCCACATATAAGTGATACTGTATATTTGTCTTTCTCTGCCTGACTGATGAAGCAGTAGCATTATTATCCCTATTTGTAGGTAAGGAAAATGAGACTCAGAGAGGTTAAAGAGCTTGCTCGTAGGAACAGCGAGCGGCAGGATGTTAGCTCAAGCTGACTCCAAAGTTCACGCCCTTAATGAAAACAATGAGAAGAGCACCTGGATTTCCTGAGAAACCATTGTGGTGCCTCACATAAATAAATGACCCACACGTGCTAAATGTCTAAATAGGTGCCACAGCAAAATCCCTAATAGAGGGAGAAGAGAATTAACACACAGGTTATCTACTTTATAAGAGAGTCTTAACTGTTTTATGTCAGGAAGGATTTTTTTGATGCTGAAAAAAATCAAATAACCTAATAAGATGTAAAATTATTTCAGTAGACAGCACTTTCCATCACTTGATTCTTCATTCTTAGTATTCTGATGATGTTTATTGATAAAGGTGTGTATCTGTGTGTGTGTAGGATTGTTATAATATGGCATCAGGCTCTTCCTTATAGAGTCAACTACAAAAAAAGAAGAGATTATTAAGCAGTTTAAGACTGGGACTTGGACAAAACTGGTCTTATAAGTCTTAGAATGATTAGGAGAGTGGTCACTCATTGTGATCTGTATTTCCAAAACTGTGACCTCTTCCTTAAACTTTAGCTTGCCAAATTTCCTCTTCCAAAAGGAAATTACTAATCCACAAAATTCTCTCAGTAATGAAAAGTGAATAGCCTTGTGAAAAAAATGAAAAGGCAAATTAATTCTTCAAAACTGATTTTGCTGGATTCTGAAAGAACTATTGCCCTACGGAACTTCTTAGCATAAACAGACATTCTGCTAACAGCCAAATAATGGTATAAAATTAAATGGCACGACTCCAGCTAACCTCTCAGGCAGGGGGAGGAAGGCGGAAGCCATTTGTAACAATCAGCTGGGGAAAAAAATCTTCAGGGGAAGCCAAAAGAGGAAGCTGAAAGCTATTTACACAGATTTCAGAAAGCAAACAGATTTACTGGGTTTCTAGTTTCTTTTCCCCTCTGGTACCAGTGAGACTGATCTTATAACAGGAGACAGGAGACCACACCATAGTATTCTTGTTCCTCCCTTTCCTGGTAATTTAGCACAAGGATATTAATTCAAGAAATGTTGTGATAGCTTAGCATTTGTTTTCCACACCTCACTTCATTTTGTAAATTGAGGTCTGGATATATCTGTACAAAAAGATAATTGTAAGTAAGTGTAAGTGCCTGAAAGGCAAGTTGAGGGGGGAAAAATTATCCCAATTAGGACAGGACAGCAGCATCAGAGTCTGATAACAAAAGAAACACCAAATTAACCTCTGCCCCCAAAAGTCAAGACCATTTTCTGATCGACGTCTTCAACTGAAGGTTCCAGCACTTAAATGCTATGATAATTACATTGCTCTAGGGCCCTCCACTAACCCGCCACCCAAGGGGGGGAAAAAATCCACTTAGTGAGCTTCTTGAAATCAGGCGTTCTAAGAAATGGATTTCACATATTCTGCTTAGAAGTTGCATTATTGAATTACTCTGCCTCACTAAATACTATCCAAGTATGTACAAAGAAGGCGGATTTTTTAAAAAGCGGCTGTTTTTTTCTTCTTAAACCAGCCCCGAGGGTCGCCTCTATTCCTCCTGGGGCCCCTCTAGGTAATTTCAGATGGATAAATCAGAAACTCCAAACCCGTCTTAACAGCTGTTCTGGTGAAATTAGAATCTGGACTGCCTCTCGCCTCCAGCCTCTGCAAACACGAGGATGGGGAAGGGGTCGGGGAGTGGGGGAGACCCGTGGCTACCATTCCAACAAGTGATGCTTCACTCGCCAACTCTAGAGAGAATGGGGGCGGGGGAGAGGGGTGGAGTAAGAACTAAGACTAGTTACGAATCCGTGACACTGGCCAGCCGCGACAGATCAAATGAGACGGACGCCCTAAACATAGTATCCCCGGGCGCTCGGGCCATCAGCACAGGTGCGCACAGGTGCGCGCCGGCAGACCTGGAGGGGGCTCTGCACAGGGGCGCTCCCCGGGCACCCCCAGCCGCCCCGGGCCTCACCTTTCTGCCGCAGGTACTGCATCTGGTGCCGCGGGCTCGGCCGCTCCTGCAGCTCCTGCAGCACGCGGGAGTCGCCGGCGCCGCCGCGGCCGCCCAGGAACACGTCGGAGCCGGAGGCCTCGGTGGAGCTGTCGAGGCTGTCCCGGCGCCGCCGGCGGCCCCGGGGCCCGCGGCCTCCGCCGACCGCCTCCTCCTCCTCGGTGCAGCTGTACAGTTCGGTCAGCAGCCCGCTCACCAGGGACGCCGTGCGGCTGCCCCGTGGCTCGCCGGGCTCCGGGTCCTCCTCGCCCTCCCAGGCGTCCCTGGAGCCCCGCGCGCGCTCCGCCGGAGTAGCTCCGCGCCCCGAGTCCTCCGGCCTCGCCTCGGGCTGCGGGCGCCACGTCTGGCCCCCGCCGGCCGGCAGGACCTCCATGGCCCCCGGCCCCGCTCCCGCCGCTCCTCCCGCGGTGCCGCGCCGGCCAGTTCCGGGAGGAGGCGCGGCCTCGGCCCCGCAGCCGGTGTCCCGGGCCGGGCGCGGCGCCAGCGGGCTCCGGATCCCCCGGTGGCCGACCTCCCCGGGGTCGGAACCCGCGCCGCAGCTCCTCGGCCCCGGGCGGGGAGGAGAGGGGGGCGGCCACGCCAGTGGATGCCTGGGTTCACCTGCCGCAGGTGAGGCCTGCCCGAGCCCGGGAGCACTGTCTAAAGAGAGCCGAGGAGCAGGATGTGGCCAGAACGTATCAGGATAAAGCCCTTAGCCCGGAGGGGGAAGGGCGCTCTGGCTGCCGCCGCCTTCACTTGCATGTAAGTGATTAACTCAAAAAGCGGGCAACTCTTGCATCCTGTTCAGCCGCCAGTAGGAAAAGGTGCCTGGGAGACTTCCAAACACCCAGCAACAGGCCGAGGCCGGGAGCTCCCTCCTTCACATACTCCTTCTCAAAGCCAGCCCTTCTCACCTTCCCACCTGAGTCGGACACGACTGAGCGACTAAGCACTGCCCAAAGGCGTTTCTTAGTTCAGATTCCGACAGTAACCTTTCCGAAGATCTGGCATGTACTTGAGATTTAATAACACGGTAAAATTTTTTCCTTCGGAGAATTAAGATTAACAAAGGTTCTTTCACCTAGATTAAGATCGACTAAATCTCTAGCACAAGAGCCAACAGAAGGGGGATTTAATAAATGTTACCAGAAGACAAAACTAATAAATTGACACTGCTGATTCTATCAGTAAAATAAGAAGTTTACATGATACCCTAGACCTCCGTGGAAGAACTGGATGCCCCTCCACTATAGATATTTTTGTGAATTATTAATTATTGTCAGTATTTTCATGTGCCAGGGAGTGTTCTGACTTCTTTGCATGAATCCTCCCATTTAATTCACACTTTAACACAATGAAGGAGTGAGCACATTTGGGGTGATGGGGAGCCCACACTGGGCAGTCTGCGGGATCTTAGTTCCCTGAACAGAGATCAAACCTTCACTGCCTGCTTTGGAAGCCCAGAATCTTCACTATTGGACCACCAGGGAAATCCGTGGCTTGACATATAACATTATATTAGTTTCAGGGATACAACATAGTGATTTGACATTTGTACATGTTGCAAAATGATCACCACAGTAAGACTAGTTCATATATGTTCCCGTACACTTATAAGGGTAAGAACTATTTGTTTTTCCCCTCACTGTTCAGATGAGAGAGCTGAAGCACAGAAATGCTGAATCACTGGCCATTCACAAACAGTCAAGTGAATTTTCCTTAAAACTTAGAGTGTCTGGCTTTCATTATGGATGAATATATATTTCGTTATGGATAAGTATGTATTTGTCTATCTCCTAATGCTGTTCTGTTACCTCAGATATGCAGATGACACCACCCTTATGGCAGAAAGCGAAGAAGAACTAAAGAGCCTCTTGATGAAAGTGAAAGAGAAGAGTGAAAAAGTTGGCTTAAAACTCAACATTCACAAAAACCAAGATCATGGTATCCGGTCCCATCACTTCATGGCAAACAGATGGGGAAACAATGGAAACAGTGACAGACTTTATTGTCTTGGGCTCTAAAATCACTGCAGATGGTGACTGCAGCCATGAAATTAAAAGATGCTGGCACCTTAGAAGAAAAACTATGACCAATCTAGACAGCATATTAAAAAGCAGAGACATTACTTTGCCCTCAAAGGTTCATCTAGTCAAAGCTATGGTTTTTCCAGTGGTCATGTATGGATGTGAGAGTTGGACTATAAAGAAAGCTGAATGCCGAAGAATTGATGCTTTTGAACTGTGGTGTTGGAGAAGACTCTTGAGAGTCCCTTGGACTGCAAGGAGATCCAACCAGTCCATCCTAAAGGAGATCAGTCCTGAATATTTGTTGAAAGGACTGATACTGAAGCTGAAACTCCAATACTTTGGCCACCTGATGCCAAGAACAACTCATTGGAAAAGACCCTGATGCTGAGAAAGATTGAAGGAGAAAGGAGAAGGGGATGACAGAGGATGAGATGGTTGGATGGCATCATAGACTTGATGGACAAGGGTGTGAGCAAGCTCCGGGAGTTGGTGATGGACAGGGAGGCCTGGTGTGCTAGAGTCCATGGGGTCGCAGAGAGTCAGACACGACTGAGCAACTGAACTGAACTAATGCTGTTAAATACTTGCATATTTTTTAAAGGAACAACAATGTACCTGGTAAACAATGGTGGTGTTTCATGTTTGTTCAGTACACTTTTTACTTTCCAAGGCACTTGCATAATAGAGCCTGTAGAAACCCGATGTCCTTTGGCACCGCCACCAAAATATATGTAAAGAGTGAGAGCAATAAGACTTTTAGAAACTGGAGTTAATTATAAGGGAAGCAGAAGTTTTATAACTTTAATGTAACCAGAATTTAAAATTGCACTAGAAATAGTATTTTTTGGTTTTATAACTATATTAACTACTACTATATCCATTTAACTTTAAAATGTATGCAATAGAAGGAATGGAATTATTTGTTATTTTGTTGTTGTTTTTGTTTTTTAAGGGTTTTTTTTTCCCTGTTGTCGCCGGCATGGCATTTGAGTCCTGAAATTGTTCCTTCAGATGTCAAACAGTGCAACAAGCAAGACTTAAGCAAAGAGAAACACTGAGATTGAATCTCTTTTCTTAGCTGATTTCCCAGCCCTTTCTCCCTATCTGCACCTAGTAAGAGAAGTGATAACTACTAGTCTTCAGCACAATTCACATCCGGGGTATCACTATCAGGACCTGTAAAGAAACTCAAAGTGAGCAGAAGGGGGTGGTGAAAGAGGCCAGGACACAGTATGCCATTGACAGTCAACATTTCTAAATTAATCAGAACTCAATATCATCTCCTGTTCCTGAGGAGAGAAAACTGGCAAAATAAAAACTAACAAGGAGAGTAGATTCAAGCTCCTTGCTCTCGTTGGAATGATCTTGGCCCAGATAGCCACGTGACTCTTTTCTCACCAGGTCAGGTCTCTGTTTAAATATCTTCTCCATGAATCCTTTCTAACTGCCCCGTTTAAAATTGCAGCTCTCTACCTCCTCAGTATTCCCTTCTTCCCCCTCTTTGTTCTCTTTTTTCCCAAAGCCCTCACCACCTTCCAACATATTATAACATCGATGGATATATTTTATTCTCTGTCTTCTGCCAGTAAATTATAAGCTCTTGAAAGCAGACAGTTTTGTTCACTGAGGTATGCCCACCACTTGGAACAGATGCTAGTGCATTATATGTACTCAATAAATATGTGTTGAATTAATTAATTGAATGAATAACATGAAAACTAGAGAAAAGATCAGCCAATTACCTGCTTTCGTAAGAAAAGTGAATTCCATTAAACAGAATCCTAGGAGAGGTGTTGATGAAAGCAGTCCATTTTTGTACCCTGCCTTTCTGCTTTCCCAGTGATAAGAAGGACCGCAATGAGTTCCCTAAAGGTCTGAAGTCAACTAATTGGATATGAGAGAGAACCACTGGCTAGACAGAATATGATTTCAAACTGATTCATGACTAATTAATAGCTTAAATTAAATTTACTATGGTTGACTATGCTAATAATAATCAGCATTTTGTTTGAAACTTTAGTTTTAATATTTAAACAATTATATTAATTATTTTTATCAGATATAAGGTCTAGTATTGCATTATATTTACAAGAAGCTAAGAAGCATCTATCTCAAAGTTGAGGGTAATTTACTATAATCTATAGAATGTAATTTATATAAATCTGTATACAAGATACAGACTATGAACATTTAAATTATTTCCAAACCTGTATCACAGTCTTGCCAATAACCTTCTGTTCACCTGTCATTTAAAACTACCTTAACAAGACTCTCAACATTTTTGATAACTTGATAATTTTTTTCAGCATGTGCAAACACGTAAAGACTAAATTGCTATGATGAAAATTATGATGATTCTTGGAATGGCTGATTTGTAGAATCTAACAGTTAACCTTTTACTCTAATCCTTCAGGGATTACTCATTTTTGAGTCACAAGAGAAATGCACAGGATCAGTGCCGGGTTTCAGCTTTTCAGCGTGGAAGTTCACTCTTGCTCAAAATTAATTACTGATTACAATTTATTTATATCCTTGGAGTGCAATACAATTTCTGTTTTCAATTTAATAACTCTACATGAAGAATCATAGTTTTCGATCCAAAAAGCTGGGATAAGAGGTAAAAAGAGAATTTCATACTTTAAAAGCCACCAAGCCTTAGACAGACACCTTGGGAAATATGTAGTAATGCATAGTGGACAGCAGAAAGACATTTAAGTCATAAAATTTGAGTGCTTAGAGAACTTCGGAGATCTCATTTGACTAGTGCTTAAAAATTATTATACTATATTTCAAAGTGACAGACTATAACCTCACCTCTGCAATAGTTTAAAAAAAAAATGTGACTGCTCAATGCATATAAGCTGGGAACTGAATCTCTCATCTCTCACCCATATTCAAGTGACATTCCTTGAAAATGAGATGTCTATTGTGCCAGCAGTTAGGTAGTCACTGACAAAGGCCGACTAATATCATTTGCCTAAACTGCTTTGTCTAAGTCCTTGCTTCGTGCCTCTCATGAATGTTTTCTGATGGAAAGATCTTCACACTTTGAGCCTGTTCCTACAAGTCTATCTCTGTGCCTCCACCCCAGACCTCCCCTTCTCCAATCTCCCAGTCATTTTCCTTCCAGGGTGATGAACAGCCTGCAGACGCCGTTCATCATTGCCATTGAGTCCATGTACATTCTAACCTTAGATCATTTCTTTCTACATAAACTGGAAGGTCAGGTGCACTACCCAAAGCTCTGCCCATTAAAAGGTTTTCTCTCACCACTGTCATTCAAGGCCAAGCCCAAGGGAGGCTGTAACGCAACCATCACCCACCCATACACCAAGCTGTTTTATCCTAAAACCAAGTTCAGGCT